CCACAACAGGTATGCATCTTCCAAGCCACTTCATCCATTCCCCCACCGTACCCCAATTCTCCGCAAATTGAAAGAACGAACTCCATAGCCCCGTTGCGATGACACCCGGGTGAACAGATACACATGTAATCCCCTGACCATGATATCTTGCGTGGAACTCCCTTGCAAACAGGGCGTTCGCGAGTTTCGATGTCCCATACCGCCAAAGAGAGGAGAATATAAAAGCTGAGCCCGTGGATTGGAGAGAGGCGTAGGGGATCCCTGATTTTGGAGAGAATTGCATGCCGATGCTACTAACAACCACCACTCTAACATCTCCTCCCTCCTTTGCCGTCTTCTCCATAATGCCCACCAATAATTCACTTAACAGAAAATGTCCCAGGTGGTTCGTCCCGAACTGGATTTCGTAGCCTTGTTTTGTTAGTCCGGGGGGAACCATCATGACTCCAGCGTTTAGGAAGAGTATGTCGAGACGAGATGTGGATTTGAGGAAAGTCTCGGCGCATGACGAGACGGAGGAGAGGTCAGAGAGGTCGCATGGTATGTGGGTGAGGGGACAGCAGTTGGAGACGAGGGATTGAACGTGGGAGATTGAAGAGGATGTGCTGGATGCATTGCGAGCGAGGATGTAGATGTGGGAGGGGGAGTGAGGGGCTAGACGGAGGATGGTTTCGAGACCAAGACCTGCGTTTCCTGCGAGAAAGGTGTTAGTGAGGACTTGGACTGAAAGGGGACAAGAAGAGGAGGAGGGGATAGATCTGAAGGCCTCCCGGGTTGAGAAGATTCGAGGGAGTGTGCCAAAGATGCAGACCAATGATGGCAGAGCAAGCACACCCAGATGTACAAGAATAAAGGCTTACCTCCAGTAATAGCAATCACCTTCCCACTCAAATCGGGAAGATCCTTCTCAGTATCGAAATGTACCGCGGGGCGACTGAGGAGCCCGTAAAGCATCTTGTCTTTTCTTTTTCTTCAATATCCTTTCAATTCTCCGAAATGTATGGCAACTAGCCAGCTTCACGAATAGGAGTTTCGCAAGCGCTGTTCAATAACAATTGTGGGGATGTTGTTTGGAATGCCATCTTGAATGTGGTCGAAGATTGAGATTGTCGTAGTTCGAAGGAAGCTTGATGTGCAATTGGAGTTTTTGATTGGCTGGTGCATCGGATGGGCCGAGGTTAAAAAAAAGCTCCCTGTGTTTGAATGTTTACTACGAGTATAACGTTAGCTCTACTCGTATAACCATAATTATCTTATAATGCTCAAATGATTCATTTCAATTACCCCGAGCAATGAAACACAAATCAATTCCACAAAGGATTTCGAAAGTGGCAAAGAACATTTCCCCATCAATGTAACTTCATAAAAATCATTTCATAACTCTACCCATTCAACTTCAAGCACAATAAAAACAGAACACCGAAAGTTCTAGTACAGTGTAAAGCAACAAGTATCCCAAACCTTTACAGTACAGTAAGTTATCCCAATACTTGAAATGGACATGAACCTCCACCTGGTGCCATTTACGAAGTACAACTTCCTTAACCACCACGAGCAACCCCTCCCCCCTACCCACTCCTCCCCATTTTTCGGGAATCTTACATACAACCTCCGTACCTACCAACCTACAACCCTCTACTCTCCCTCTCCCTCTTCCACATCCAACTCCAACCCCTACCCAAGTACCACCCTACCACCCTACCATCCATCCACCCTCCTCTCTTCTCACGAAAAGGCCCAATAAGAAGTTAGCAATACAAGCACGCCCCTCCTCTCACCCAAGTCCAGACCACCCATTCATCCATCCAAAAAAATCTAGCCCTCAAAAACTGACCACTCACTGCATGGTGCCCAAAACAGGAAGTCAGAAGTCGCCCCTCCAAAAAAAAAAAAGGCACACCACATCCCACCTTCCACATTAAGAAAACATTATTTCGGTTTATGCAGATGAGAAGAAAAAGAAAATCAACAGGGGAAAGGAAAAATCAGCAGGGGAAAGAACTCTGTCCACCCCACCCTCTCGTCCCCCTTAGATTAAGCGAACCCCCCAACGGACAAACCAGTCAGTCCAGTGAGGAAGAAGCCCACCAGAAGAGTATATTCACTACACGATGACTTGAGACGACGAAACCAAATACACACGTTGCAAATCTCAAATTATTGTATCTGCTTTGATTCGCAAGAATATAAATAAAACGTAAACTTCTTTCTCCGGCCCTCCAGATTCCCACGAATCAGCCTTATTGGCATATGCCCTTTAAAAACACATCACTATCATGTCATTTATCGTGCAACTCCTCAAGTCATTACCATCCATGCAAGACCATCTTTCATCTTTCTTTCAGCTCTCCCCTGCTGTAAATTCGAAAAAACCAACACCCCAGATACCTAAAGACCATCTGAAAATGGCATGCATGATACTCGCCGCCCCTTGCCACCACCTCGACACCCTGACTACTTGCAAAAGCTAGTAGAAGAGAAAAAAGAAGAAAAGTAATTTGGGAGGAAGGGCATGATGCAAGATCCCGACTGAGTTTCGTCGTTGTGTCTGGATTGGTATGTATCCCGTGAGCTGAATATGTAAAAAGAACTAGCAACATGATATCCCGAAAGAGGGAAAGTTGGATCGCCGCGGGTCCGTCGAAGAAGTGTGATTTGAAACGCTAAAAAGACTAGAGAAGAGAATCAAAGGGTATTTATCAGGATGTTGATCAAAACGTGTCAAGATCAAGCCCGTGTTCCCACGCCATCTTTGCGCTCAGAACCTTTCCTATCGGCATTGTTCTCCTGATTGAATTTCTGCCATAACTTGGCAATATCCTCTTTGTTGTCGTTCTTCTCCGTGATCAGATTCTTCAACCATTTATTCTCGGTTTCGAGCTGATTGATGCGACCCTCCAAAGCAGCCACTTTGTCATTCATCTCTTTGGCAGACTTCTCAAGTGCTTGCTCACGTTGCTTCTTCTTGACTCGAAATCGGGCGGAAGCAGCAGTGTTACGACGACGTTTGTCCTCTTCAGCGGCAAAGCGAGACGCCTCCTCAAAATCGGGTGCGGAGGGAGACGTGTGGGAAATAGAGGCAGATTTTCGCTTGGACCTTGGGGTAGGCGTGGTCAAGGAGGAAGCTGGAGACTCAACCGTTGATGATGATGGATACGTAGTTTGGTTTGAGTCAATGGGTGGAGGAATGGCACTGCCTTCGGGGTAGGAAGCAGCAAATGGACTGAAATCCGGGAAAGAGAAGTCTCCTGCCATGGTATACAGGTTAGCATAATTGAATCTTTGCCGATGAGCTTTGGAAAATATATCGGTTATACACGGAGAAACACTGCTGAAGAACGTCCCTCCAGTACTAGTCGCAAGCCAGGTCCCCCCATTTCCAAAGACTCCGGGAGTTGAGGCTCATTGTTCCTCAGCTCTCGGCACGTGACATCACGCCATCGTCAGGGATGATTAAGCCATACCGAGGACAATGAGGAGAAGGAGGGCGACATGCAGAAGTGCTGCACCCATCTGCAGGGAGATGCAGCGTGTGGTGCACGTGAAAGTACCAATGAGACGAGGCGGTAGTGGGAAGGGTCGCAGAGGGACGAGGTGACAGATCAATGAGCAACGATACATCCGAAAGGATAAAGTGTCTTGTTGATACACGAATCCATTGCGAATGGGATGCTGGCAATGACACCTTGTGTCGGAAAAGTAGAACAGAAAAGAAGCAACAATTTGACGACAAGGAAAATCCGTAGATCGGTCGGACTCTTACCTTGTAAGTTAAAGTCCAGTGCCTTCATGTCCGTACCCTCGGGAGATGCAGCAGAGCCTGGACCGTCTACACCAAAGTTGTCTGTATGCAGACCAAAGTCGGTATCGAAGAATTGCGTATTGGTAAACATGGCCAAGTCCTCCTCAAAGTTGATATTGTCCTCGGCATTCTGGAGGTCTTGGGCGGATGGGATCGCATTGAGGTTGGCGATGAAGTCAGAGACATTGGGTCCCCTCCTACCATTGTAAGCCATGGTGGGCGATGTTGGCAGTTTTCGCAGGGGATTGGGAGAGGTTCTTAGTCGTGAATGGCGGATGAATAGCAAGGCCTTGAACACGATGTGCTTTCAAAGTCGAGAGAGTCGTCACCGTCCAGGGAGAGTTGTCGTCATGAAAAGATGAAAAACTCGTGGGCGAGGTGGTGGTGGTAGTGGTGGTAATATTGCAAGCAGTAGCCTTTGTATTCTGTCGGGGGCAACCTGGAAGCAAGCGAAAAAAGGCGCTGAGCGCAGCGCTTTGCGTGCCACCAATAACCTTATCTTATTGTGCACCGTATTCACTCCCACCTTCGGGAAGACGCTCGGGTTATCTCACAAGCAGTGTCAGTCTTTTGGTGAGGTATAGAAGTATGGAGGTATGGAGATATATTCCGTAGCTGGTGTTGTTGGAAAGCGTTGCAAGTCGTCGAGGGTCAAAGGACGAAAAAGCGGGCAGTGGGAGGAGTTACGGGTAGGATATTGGGAGAGGACTTCCACTTCCACTTCCACTTCCTGCCTTGCCCCACTGTCGGATGACTAAAATTTCAATAGAGGGTCCAGCAAGTCCAGGCTGCCTGCGCTAACATGCCGCCGTAACCAAAAATGGGCTGGTAAGGCTGGTTAAGCGGACGAGTGCGGGATGCTTGGTCGGGATATGCGAACAATCTAAAAATGCACGAATGGCCAAATTTTGGAATACCGTGAGAGAAGTACTTTGGTTCAGATCGCTGCAAGAACACGTTCACGTTGCGATGACCTGTGTGGTGTTTACTAAACGGGTTAAACGAAGATGAAGCAGAGTTAGAAGTTTCGTTCCAAGCGAAGGCTTCAAGGCACCGCTGCACTATCTCGAGTCTCAAAGTTGGTCCTGGTCCTGGTCCCGCATTATCCCTAAAGTCATGACTTCACCACCAACTCTAAAGACCATCGGAGTTATCCATCGGATGTAAGACCAATCCTGCGCGCCCTTTGGTAATCTGACAATCTCCTCGGCCACATTTCTAATGCTTTTCACCGATTGCCCGCCACTCTGACCCCACCTTTGCCGGTCATCGGAGCCACCGATGATGTGAACGGCTTTGTTTCGGCGGTCGGGCCAAGTCTTGACCGTCAAAATGCCAAGAAAGTAAAGACGACCTTTTGAGGCTCTTCATTGGTCGAGTTTGGAGAGAGAACCGAGAGGTGAAAAGATGCTCGTCAAGTGCTTGGCGTGCAGATCTGCTGCAAGTCGCGTCAACCACAACCTTGGGAAACCTCCACGCGCCGAGCGCTTGAGTACGAGTATCAACAGCTTCTTCCACAATGCGACACTCGTTGTGATACATGCGCCTACCATCTTCCACCTACAATTGTATCATAGATAGCTTACAGTCATGTCTTTGCTTTCCATTCCGACCACTTCAGCACTTCCTTCCACCCAGCGAATCTCCTCCAACCCCGCCGTCATCAAAACACTGGGCAGGTTGTCACGGCCATCTCTATTATCACTGGCACTGGACTGGCTAGACGAAAGAAACCAGGACAATACAGCACCATATCTAGTAGAAGAGGTAGAGGATGAAGATGGACAAGACCTCTACCCACCAGCCACATCACTCGAGGCACTTCGGGAAATATACACAGATTTGCAATCAACAAAGGGAAGCAAGAGAGATGTGGTTGATCGCATAGTGGAAGGAGACTGGCGAGATGGGATCACATTATACCAACTAGCAATGGCCGATATGCAATACCTCTACGACCACCCATCTTCACAAAAATGGACCGCATTAAAGGTAGTACGGATAGAACACGATACGCCAAAGTCAGATTCAAAACTATACTCCATACCTCGATTTCACCCTGCTACATTCCTTCGAAATTTACAAAACGAGATACTTCCTGATGTCAAGGCACATTACAATCTCGATCGACACAAATCATTACCATTACTTATTTTACGAGTGTTTATCGTTGAAAGTCCATACAATACCTCGCTGGCTCTTTCGCAGAAACAGACGTTCGATTCGAGTAAAACTTTCTACATTGCTTTCCCGGATGATTCGCCATTTGTTTACGTTTCACTTACTACGTCTTCACAGCCACCAGGACAATCCGCATCAAGAGCCGACAACAAGAGTCTAAGGAGGTTAACACTAGAAGGAATACCCAAAGCATTTTCTCGGCCTAGAGAAAGATATAAGTTGGAATCTACCTCTCTATCCGCTCGGAGTCTTGCAACACTCATTGACCGACGCGGAGGAGGACGAACCAATGCTGCAGGAGGAGGATGGTCTATTTACGCCTCGGAACAGAAGGATGCATCCGACAACCCTCTAGGATTACAACTTCCAACCCCCGACCCCTCAAGCTCATCCGATAAAGAAGAAGAAAATACCGAAAAAGAACAGCCACATGGTCTAAAACGCGCCATTGAAGAAGATCCCCGAATAGTCAAACGTCGAAAATCCTTAGGAAAGGTCCGCTTCGGCACAACAGCTCAAAAGCACGACGAAAAAGGCATCGAAAAACTCGCCATCCGAATCCTCGATCCTTTCCCTACCCACAACCTTGACAACCATGAATGTCCAATCGCGGAAGAATCAGACCACGATCCGGGACTACTCAAGAAAAGGGGACGTAAAAGTGGCACCGAATTAGAATTGGAGAACCAAGAAGAGGAGGACGATGAAGGACCGGCAGACGAGTTCCGACCGCAAATCGACTTTGAATTCCAAGGGGATCATGTATTTGCGGGGATTAGGAAATTGGTTGAGTTGGGCGTTATTGATGGGGAGAGGATGCCAGGGTGGATGACAGGCGAAGAGGGTGTATCGATGGGACGAGTGAGGAATGGGAGGATTATCGGGTTCAAGGGGAGTGGATTGTGATTCTCGCTTGCGGGAACATCTGCATTTCCGAACTTGTTTTGTAATCTTCTGGTCGAGCGAATTGATTCTCCAGTTCATTGAAAATGTTGGGAGGAAGACCATATGTTTTTTTTCTGGGAGTTTGGTACGGGTAAATGGTCTAAATAGATACCCCCCTTTTCTTCTGAACCTTCAAATACGAGTTTTCCGAATCTTTGTTGCGGCTTTGATGCGTTGTCATTCATTGGAGTGCAGTGGAGTCTTGGGATTCACCTTCCTACCCCGGACTTTTTCCCCAGACTCGCTTGTATCCGGTCGGGTTGGTACAGCATGATTGGCGTTCTTTTCCCCAGACTCGCGTAAGTTACACTTGGCTTGCTCGGCTTGATAAGTATCACCTTCCCTTTCCTACCCCAGACTTTCTTTTCCCCAGACTCGCTTATACTTGATTGACGAACCACGAACCATGAGCCGCGGAGCCGACCCAACTTGGTGCTTCCTACACCGGACTTTTTTTCCCCAGACTCGCTTACTGTACAGCCCATCAACCCATTACGGTGGGAGACACCCTCGGTTAACAACAGCCGGCATATCATAGCATATCATATCAACTGCTTACCGAACTCGCGTACTTTTATAAACGCCCTTGGCCCCTTGATGTCTTACCATGGTACCACAACAACAGCTTACCGACATACGGTACTGTAATACTGTACTGTACTGTACAGTAGCTAGCTAGCTAGCTTATTCACTCACGCACAGGTCCTTATTTCCGCTCTTATCTTTCTTTCTCTTTCTCTCTCCTTTTCCAATTTCTAATTATCAATCATCAATCCTTAAGTCTTGATTACGATGTACATTATGCATACAGTATCGGACTTTACACAGAAAGGCGGGAAAGATCTTTCTGGACTGATCTAATTAACAACATCCATCAATTCCTGATTAGAAATCCAGACCAGAGTCTAAAATTCTCTTCTATTCTATCATGCAGCCTAGCCATTCAATCCATTCCAAATATCCGAGTCTGTTTCGTTCCCGCTTTCGCTTGAGTCAATAAGAATCTTGATATTTGTGCTGCACTGTATGTTTTACACCGCTATCCTCGTTCCTGATTCTATACCCGATGAGTAGGTAGCGGATATTGTATAGGGAATACGAGTAAGCTAGTAGATACGCGAACATAGAACACTGGTGAGAGTCCATTAGCGAGGACTGGGAACTTTTGTTTTGCGTTTCTTATGTGGGAATGCAAGATCCACCTGGGCAAGTTTCGAAGTCATGGATGAGATTTGAAAGACGGGTGGAATGGTTGGGGTACTGGTGATGTGGTGGGTTGTACACGAGTCGCGTGATGAGTGACTCGTACTCTGCTGAGTCTGCTCGTGAGGGGTCGGGTTACTTGTGAATCGTGATGAAGTAGTCTTGCTGCAAGATAATTTGGGGGGTTATTCAGGATAGAAAGATAACCTTTCTTGGGCTGATTATTACCTGACATGATGTTAAGAATCTCGTGGTATTCATTATTGGCGCGCTCCGTTTGTATGTGGTCTGATCTAGCATGAATTCTACACTGCCTTCTCACCAATGTACCTCTAGTTTCTACCTCGTTTTACTCCTCGGTCTCGTATTCTCTCCCGCTCTAGCATCACTCCAAGTTCTAACTCGAACCGATCCTCTCCCCCTTGCCAAATCTTACTCTTCACTCATTCCACTTACTGCCGTAGTCCTCACTCCCCAACCTTTCCATTCTCTCCCTCCTCCACTCCAAGCCCAAACATCTTCACACTATTCTCCCAAGCAGCCTCACAAACCCTTTCCAAACTCTCCCCCCTAACCCCCGCAACCAACCACCCAACCTTCCCAATACACGCACTCTCATTCCGACCCTTAACCAGTTTCCCCTCAGCCCATTTCTCCTTCTTAACCCATTCCTTCGCCCAAGGATCTTCCCACCCCTTAGCCACCTTCAAATACCCCGCCGACGCATGAGAAGCCCGACACTCGCACCACGGCCCATCAGTCTCCAACATCAACTTATCGAGCGGTATCTCCTTGACGACTTGGAGATTCTCTTCCGTCTTTAGAGAACACCCGTTGATGCCTATTGACCAGCCCAGAGAGACGAGTTCGCGCATTTCGAATAAGGTGCCTGTGAAGGAGTGGACGACCCCGCGTTTGGGCAGCGAGGAGGTGTGTTCGGAGAGGATGCGCAGGAAGTCTTCGTGTGCTGCGCGGGAGTGGAGGAAGAGGGGGAGGTTGAGGGTGCTTGCGAGGGAGAGTTGGGTAGAGAAGGAGAGTCGTTGGGCGAGTGCGTCGCAGAGGGGGAGGCGGTCGTAGTCGAGACCTAGCTCGCCGAATGCGACGACTGTGTTTGCGGGGGCGGATTCGTAGAGAGTTCGTAGTTCTGTGATGATTTTCGAGGCGGATTCTTCAGATGTGAAGGAGGAACTGGAACATGGATGGATTCCTAGAGTTGTGTAGATTGTTCCTGCTGTTTGATTGTGTAATTCGTTAGTCCATGTTGGTTTTGGGGCTGTAGATTGGGAAGATGGGAGAGAAGCACGAACGATATTCTTTTGCCAGATCGATAGCCTTTCCGCTTTCTGATATATCAGAACCGGTAACGAGAAGTTTCGTGCATCCTATTGATTGCGCGCGACTGATTACTGCGGAGAGATCTGAGGGATGTCGTTGGGTTCCATGGTAAAGACCTGTGTATACAGAATCGGTGAGGTTGATTCCTATCTACTGTGGTTTCGTGAGGTTAGTTTCATTCTCGTCTGCAAAGCAAATTGCCCGAATCTTGGATTGAGGGGAGCAATGGAGAGGGTACTAATTACATCTACGTATCTCGGTTTGTACCCTTCAGGTGGGGTTTGCGCTGCTGAAGACGCGGGGGGATTGGTGGCCATTGCGAATGTGCGGATGATGGGGATGACTTGAGTTTTCGAAAAACAATCGGACAGCAATCGTGGATTATGGCAGACAGACGTGCGTTGAAGAAGACGATGCATGAAGATTGTTGGTGTTGTTGACCCGGTGGCGGGGTAAAAAAAAGACCCGTACTCGGACTTGGTCTGACGTTGACCAGCCCTCTGGACGTTTTATCTACAGATAAACCTGGATATAAGGATACTGGATATAAGGATACTGGATATAAGGATACTGGATATAAGGATAACCTCGGTTATATCCTTAAATTTTGGGTCCCGATTTTTTTAGGGAATATACTAAGGATACCTCCGTATAAGGATAATCCTTAGTTTTTTAGGTCCTAAAAGCTTTTTGCCACCTAAAATACCCTTACTTATATCCTTGGAAGTGTTTTAGTCCTCGGAAATTCAGTAATTCTATATAAATTCTCTGCATTTTTAAGTGTAAAACTAGTACCTTGTAATAAGAATTAGTAGATTACTAGTCTTATATATGAATTAGTAAGTACCATGTTATATATTCTTAACACTTAAATAAATAATCATGTCGTCGCCTATGCCAAGACCCTCGTTATAAGGATAACCTCGGTTATATCCTTACGAAACTTGCCCCCACGAATATCCTTATATCCAGGTTTATCTATACCTACCTTTGAGGACTATAAGCTTCATTCACTTGGGATATTTAGTAATTGTCCTAATTATTTCATTCCAAGTGATCAGAATATTTATGAATTATTTAAAGGGTTCAGAGCAATAATACTTATAATTTGCTGCTACTTGCGATACTGTACGGCCTATTAAGCTGGCAGGACCTGGCAGCGGACCAACCCAGCGCGCACATAATACAACCCACGCCTATTAAAATGTGGGAAGCTTGATGACAACACCTATTGGTGTTTTACTAGCTATTCGTAGGTAAAAATTTATCGTGTGCCATTCGGTGGGGTCAAACAGGTAGGTTGAGGTTACTTTTTTTCTTTGTTACTCTGTTTTCTTATCTACATTCCTAGCTGAATGCAGACCTCAACACTACCTATCTCTCGTTTTTGCACTTCCAAGTCCGAATTGCTTTGACTTGAGTAATTTCTATTTTTGTTTCCCCATTAATTCGCTTGTGCTTTTCGAATTCTATCAGGTTTATCGTTGCTATGGTATTTTGTTGTCTTTGCTAGCTAGTCCGGAAATGATGGAGTCTCCTCAAGGACTAGAGCTGGACTATAGTAGTGCCATAAGGTCTAAGGCTGAGAACAAAGTGGAAGGGGAGAAAACAGGAAATGAATTCACAGACCAACCGGCAAATAAAAACGTGGGAAACCAAGAGGCAATAGAGGAGGCATCGAGAGATACCACAATGCCACCCGGTCATGATGCTGCCAGAATGACAGAAATCCTTGAGAAGCGAAAAGCGAGAGAATCAATAACTATGAAACCCCTCCTGGCAGCACCAACGAGAGAGCAAACACCAAATCCCATCCTGGAATTCAACAAAGCAGACATCTCGTTCAACTCCCAGCCATGGATATCAACAAACATAACCTTCACTCTCTCCAAAAACAAGAAGAACTGGAGACCCCAACCTTCAAATGCCCTCAAGAACAGTCTTCTCGCAGGCGTTGGCTTCCTCGAACTAGCAAACGCAGCAGACTTCGCAGCCAATGTCTGGAATGAAATCCCCGTCCCGACATTCGCCGCTGTCCTCATGGGTATCGGTGGTGTCTTTGCCATTACCATTTCCTTCTTCGCATTCCACGACATCGTCCTCGCGCGAAGAAACTACAAAGTCCTTATACGTGAGCGGAGAATATTGAAAAATAGGGAAGAGAGCAAGGAGAGGAACACATATCTATCTGTCAATTTTCGAGAGCTTGGAACGGAGATTATTGATCGCATTGGGATGGATGCGTTTATGGGATTTGGAGCTGTGATGGTGGGTGTTGGGACTTTACTTGCTATTGGAGGAGCGAATCCGAGGGTTTATGATGCTTCGAATTTGCTTTCTGGGTATATTGGTAATACACCCGTTGCGTTGTTTGGGATTTTCAATGCCTTTTGGTCGATATTTGTTGTTGCAAGGGCACAGCGTCATCGTCACCATGCCAGAAAATCTCTCACCTCTGCGGATGAAAAAGAGGTCTTGAACTTGTTGAGACAGAGAACGAGGAAAGTTCAATCTCATGCCACAATCATGGGCAGTATAGGTATTATTGCTGGCGGTGGAAGTTTAGTCACCTCGGAACACTGGGAAGGTTATCCAATTTTGATACCCTGTATTGTGCTTTCAGCATATTGCAATTGGATATGGAGGAAAAAAGTTGGATATTCTCGCGCTCTTTGTGATACCACTTCCTCGCCTATCGCCAACATGGAAAAAGGGGCTCTGATGGAGGAAATATCGATAAACGCAGCCCTCCTGAAATCCTATCGTGGCTTCAAAAGAATACCGATACTCGAAAATATAGTTGAAGAACCGGAATCTATGGCTTCGATTTTAGAATTTCTTGTCAGATATGACCTTTTTACTTCTTTTTGTGCGAGGGTGCTGAAAGAAGTGACTTTGAGGAAAAGCGTTTTAGAACCGACACTTGAGGGACAAACGGAGATTGTGATTTCTCCTGCGGACTTTTTACTGCTGGGTAGAAAGGCTTGCTTTTTGGCGTTGAAAGATGTTGCTGATGAGGTTGTAAAGAAGGGGATTAAGGAGAAGCTGATGTATCGGGAAAGGTTTCTGCTGGAGGCTCTGGGCTGTCTTTTGGTCGTTGAAAGGAGAATGAGTATGAGAAAAGAGAGGGATGGTACAGAGAAAGGAAAATAATGAATTTGGCTCATGGTGATCTTTTTACATGTTTTTGGCTGTTTTGCTAGGTCCAAAAGTAGATACCCTCGCAAACGAGTTTGATTTTGGTGTAAAAGGAATTTGAATCCCAAAGACTTGAAAATATAACCCAGGATATCGTTAAAGTGATTATCATTGAATCTAGTTTCTACTGTAACCTACTGGATGCCATACGGAGAATCTCTCAAAAAGGCGCGTCTGAATCGGGGGCTGGCAAAAGCTCGCCTGTGTCTTGGCGGACGAGGAGATTGGAGGAGATACTTGTTGATTTTACGGTAATTGACTGAGATGCCCTTATATCCCTTCCAGACTCGAGAGTGCCGGGTGCGGTCGTGCGTTCCTGGTGGAGTAAAATTATCCACTTTCCAAGCAATTTACGCGTGTGCACATACTACCAATACTGATTACAAAAACTTGGTAGTGTACTTTAGTACTGGTAGTGGTAGATATATTGTAATTTTGGGACGATTTTGTAAAGGAAAACAGAAGTAATAATTTCTATAGAATCCCTAGACATTTCTCTATATATTTATACGCGTCGCTGTACGGTTTATTATAGTGGCTAGTATACGAGTACAGAAATCCTTTTATATCTTCATTATCGTGTTTTTACGTGTTAAGGTTTAAGATCTATAAACTGTAACGAATACTCAAACTGGCTAACTAAACTTGGCTGGGTGTTCGCTGGTTGGTATGCTATGATAAGAAGAAGACTATCGGGTTGTTCACTTGGAAGTGAACTCGTTACTTGTATCAAAGATGTCAAACTAATATGATAAGATTGATAACTAAGTTGAGCACGAAGCTCCTATCTAATGGCAGACGTGCCAGTCTTATATAGAACCTTCGTTCTCTCGATGTTCGCTCGTTCGACAATCGAACTGGCTAACTTCGCCTGTTCGCCCGGCTAACTGGCGAACTCCTAATATCACGTGATAACAATACAGAGAAATCCCTGGATCGCTTAGCTACTCCAAACGATCCCTATTTGCTATAAGAAACCTGGATGTGCCTGTCGAGGGTTGCGCCTCTTATTATGACAGGTATCACGTGAACACGTGATTCGTGACATAAACCTACTTTCCAAGGTCTTAAGACTTATATATTATATCCACAAGTGCGCACTACCGCACCCGGCACTCTCGAGCCTGGAAGGAATATATTATAAATACCCGAGATACCCCTAAAATAATTCGCTTATGGCTAAGATGCCCCTTAAATTGTACCCCTTAAATTCAGGGGTATCTCGGTCGTAAAACAAGGGTATATCAGTCAATTTAAGTTAGGTTAGAAATCAGGATTCTCGCTATTTATTAGATTAATATAGTAATATAGGTAAAGAGTAATGAATAAAGTAAATTAGCAACCTAGTACAACTAACATACGACTTCGTAAACTAGTCCTTGTCGATTTTGGTAGTAGTTGACTCTAATCCTTTCTTCCGCTTTTTATTCGTAATTCTACTAAATTAGCCTTAATTATAACAATTGCTTGTTCCGGAGTAATATCCTTGTCCTGAATAATACCTTCTTAAGTAACACCCACCTGTGCGATATCCTCGTCCTAAGTAGGATCAGTCTAAGTAGTAGCCCTAGTCCTAGCCCTATGTCACGAATCATGTGCTCACGTGATACTTGTCATAATAAAGAGGCGCAACCCTCGACAGGCACATCCAGGTTTCTTATAGCAAATAGGGATGCTTAGACTAGCTAAGCGATCCAAGGATTTCTCGTGTATATAGTCACGTGATCAATCGCATCGCTTGTATCGACAGTCGATGTTAGCGATAGGAGGTCGACTACATCGACAGGTGATGTAGGCGATGTAGAGAGAACGAAGGTTCTATATAAGACTGGCACGTCTGCCATTAGATAGGAGCTTCGTGCTCAACTTAGTTATCAATCTTATCATATTAGTTTGACATCTTTGATACAAGTAACGAGTTCACTTCCAAGTGAACAACCCGATAGTCTTCTTCTTATCATAGCATACCAACCAGCGAACACCCAGCCAAGTTTAGTTAGCCAGTTTGAGTATTCGTTACACCCTAGGCCTAGCTAGGTATAGTACTTGCACGTGTGAGTACGGAGGTAATACGGGGTTAAACTCCTAGGTGAATACAAATCTTGAGCCTGACTCACCTAAAAAACTACGATATTCTATTGAAACTCACTACTAAATTGACCGAAATACCCCTGTTTTACGACTGAGATGCCCCTGAATTTAGGGGCCACAATTTAGGGGGTATCTTAGTCACAAGCGAATTATTTTAGGGGTATCTCAGGTATTTATAATATATGTAAGGGTATCTTAGTCAATTACCGGTGATTTTGTTAAGTATTTAATTATATAGCCATGATCTATCTAGTATAGCTTGTAGAAGAGAAGAAAACCTTTAGAAATTGTTTTCTGGTTGTTCCTCTATAAGGTGATTTAAAGTATTAAAATAGTAGCTTTAGCTGTTTAAAAATATTTAGAATTATCATACTTGAATCTAATAATTGTGTATGGGAGTATAGGTTTTCTGGACAGTGACTTATAGAATAAAACACTTGACCGTTTGTAGTCGATAAGCGTAAAATGAAATGCATATTATCGCGACTTCTACTGTAGAAGGGGCGCATATCAGTTGCACAGCATATATACAAAAATTACGCGAAAGAAAGGAAGGCTTTAAAAGAGGAAGTGGGAACGACATTCATAGCTCAGCTTTGAAAAAGAAGATATGCACACACGCTACCCTTCTTCTCCAGCCGGATGTAACTGTAGAAAACATGGCTCGAGAATTAGGTAAATCCCGAGACTTTGTGAAGCTCGCTGTTTTTCAAAGTGGGTTTATATGAGAGCATCAGCCTTACGGTAATACGTGCACTTGCGCAGTTACCCCTCAAACTCTATTAAAATCCCTGCTTAGAGTGCACGTTCTCTACCCAAATTTCACCCCTAGAAAAACGCTTATGAGACGCCCAAGAGGGAGCCTCCCCTTGCAATGCCGGTAGAGAAGCCTGGCCCGCGCAGGGCCCATGGTCTCCTATTGAGAAAGTAGAAGAGAAACCCGGAATGCTTGTGTAAAAAGAAGCATTAAAGTCGTACGCTAACGGCCTTCAAACATTGCCCTAGTGTGTGTTACGGGTTAGGACTCTACCCCTACTCTCTGCAGTTAGTGATTTGATTGCTGGGCAATTTGCTTTCCTCTGATTTCATGTTGTTTGATTCAATAAACACTTACTCCTAACATGTGGAAATATTCTCGATGGACAGGTATAAAATCAAGTAAGTGCATTTAACAAGATGGTTTCACATACAGAAACTTCTGCGTCAAACAACGGTATCAACATATAATTCTACAAAAACAAGTACAAGAGCAAATTCGCTAAACAAAATAACAAAGTGAAAAAACGCCTAAACACACAAATCCAGCCTTCCTAAAGATCGTATATCCTCACAGCGCAGCTGTCTAAGATCCAGCTTTCAAACATTCATATCATCATTCTTGAATTCCCAGATATCGGATTCTTTGTCCTCCATGTCGTCTTTACCCACCAATCCCGCTGCCTCAGCTTCTACCTCGCCATCTCTAGATGAAAATATTCTTGATTTTATCGAGGAGGCTAGTCTTAGGAGCTGCCGAGGGAGTTGATGGTGTTGGAGCTGGGAGTGGCTTTCTGACTAAAGGTTGTCTAAACCGGGCCACTAGTATATTATCGATATCTCTCGTGAAAATGTTCTTGATTTTGTCTAGAAGGCCAGTCTTGGGAGCCGTCGAAGGAGTCGATGGTTTCGGGAGCGGCTTGTTGACCACAGGCTTGTTAAACCGGACTTCGAGTACAGCATCGGTGTCTCTCGAGAAAATGTTCTTGATTTTGTCGAGAAGGTTACTCTTCGGGGCAGTCGAAGGAGTCGATGATTTCGGGAGTGGCTTATTGACCACAGGCTTATTAAACCGGGTCACCAGTGACACCGTATCTGGTCCGGACTGGTGAAGTTCAACTTCACTCAATGAATCGCTGAGAAAAACAGGAAATGCATTGGTGGAGAGAAGGAGGGCCAGGAAGAGAATAGTCGTTGAGAATTTGACAAGTTGCATATTTCCGGCTGGTATGAGAACTATTTCGCGGATAAATTACGAGAAATAAATGATTATATGAAGCTTAAAAGAGGAAAACAAAGTGGCAAACCAGCTACCAGAGGAAATAGAAAAAGAAGAGAAGATAAAGAAAGAAAAGGCGGATGTGACGATGTACAAGAAATCTGTTTGTTCGAATTCACTAAGAGATAGAGACCTATATATACGCAGATTTCCATTTCCGAACCAAGCTTTCTCTATTCCCATGTGTAGAAAATGGATCATAGTGAATATCTTCTTCCTCCAGCTACTTCGCAAGAATTTGCGCTGAAACAAGGGGCGTGCTACCAATTACACTGCTTCCTGCCAACAGAAATGCCATCAATGTGAACTCCCAAAGTCAAAGCTCTATGGCAATTTCCACTGCGTCGTTTCAGGTCCATTACGTCGATGGACCATCAAGGTAACATTTCAAAGCTAAGGGAGGGTAGTTCAAGTGCCGAAGAAACAAGAATGGCATGACGGTACTCTTACGAAAATTTCCCCAGTAGCTGCTTCTATCGCAGAGAGTCTTTCATTCGACAACAACCTCTCCCCATCTCTTATGGGGAGGTGAGCTGCCTAAAAATAAAAGTCTCGTGGCTGTTCAGTCTCCGCTAGGAGTAGTTCTTCATACGACGAAGTAAAACCAGTACGACGCTTGGAAACCATAAATCTCAGTTGGCGATGTCTGGTTAGACAGTGCTGTATACGGGGATAAAAGTACAATTATATGACACTGAGCGGATAATGTGAGTGAGCCACGAAGGTGCTAGTCGAAAAGAATTATGTTCACGGATTATGCTCAATAAGCAGCACCAACAAGCGAATTTTGTTCACTTCTGTAATCTGGGAGACTTACAAAGATTCTGCTGCCCAACAAAATAAGGCTTTGGAGTTTTCAAAGACAAACTTGATCGGGGAGTCACAACTTTACCAGATACCAGACAAACGCGCCTGGGATTGGTAAATAGCGAAATAAATTCCGAGGATTTTGCACTAATGCTGTACTTGGATACTGTTATAGATCAATGCTTCCCCTGGAGGACTACGATTAAGGTACTTCATCACAGCTTTACTTTGAAACGGAGATTCGCTAAAGTTTTCCGGTCCATCACTCTGTGGACATTTCTCCTCCTCGAAGACTCTTGCTTTGGCTTCGTCCTTTGGTCATCGGAAGCTTCGCGTGGTCTTAGCGGACAAGGAAAGTGACAGAAAATACCCTTTTCTCATCAATGTAACTTGATTCTAACTAATAAACCGCTCTAGCTATTTAGACTAACTTCGTTCACACCAATCAAATATCTGACCAGAAATGTAGAACCATTACACATATTTGTAATCCCAAGGTATTTCAGAGATCTTGAAACAATTTAGGCTAATACTTCGAAGTAGAAAGAAAAATAACCTCAGCCGCTTTTCCTGTCTACCGGAAACCAGGCCCAATTCTTTCATCCCAGGAGAATATTTATGGGGCCTCGGAAGATACACCCGATGTGCACAAGGATAATTGCCTTTCTGGGATGAATAGATCATCTACTCTCAGGACCCACAATCCGCAGGCGGATGCGGTGAATATCCAGTTTTGCCCATAGTGGGTATCCATGGGGATTGGGTTGAGCAGAGCCCCGTTCAAGTTATTTGTTTTTGCTGCATAAGTGTCCGTACTTCGACCACGACAAATCAAGCAGCATCTTACTGAGTTGGATTCCTGGAGGGTTGCCTCCGAAGTTATTACATGAACTCAAGCTAGCAGATCAGTTCGTCTGTACTTCCAAGATTAGGAATTAGCCCTGTGTTGGTACTATCCCCCTGGTGCAAAGGGTTGTTTTCAGGTGGGAGCACATACAGGAAACAACCTTTCGAACCAAGGAGGGGGGATTAGCGCAAGGGCCAGGTCAAAAATAACGGTCAAATAGCCACAGAGGAGAACTCCGGAACCAGGGACTGACAACTTCCCCTGTTTCGGAGTCGTGGGGTCCACTATATGCCCCCCAACTCTTGTCTGGAATCAAGCTCAATGTGAACGCCATGACTAACTTCAACCCTCATGTGGTTAGCTCTTGTGGAATAATGTAACCTTCCTCGACACTTATATATTATTTCCAACCCTTTTCAAAAACGAGGCAGGATATTTCAGCTTGGAACCTCGAGAGTTGTTCCTTCGAGAGTGCACATACTTCGGAACAACCTCCACCTAACAGGAATTAGAAAAATGTGTGAAGGTGCAATATTGTACATAGGGGTTCTAGATACACACAGCTCGCCGAGTTGTGCAAGAACAGAGCTCATTCCTATCTAAGATCTTGCAGTATTTTATGCTCGTTTTCAAGATTCGAACGACTTCGAGGTTAGCCCAGGAGATCATGGAAACTCACGGGGTCACCCAATATCCGACACTTGTATCACGTATATCTTGCGCGGGATCCCAGACATATTGAGCCAAAGAACTTTCGCTTCCATGGATAGAATCAGACTCCTCAATGACGCTCTTGGAAGCAATCGTGCTCGAATCGCACGCCTTGCTTTTGCCTTCCCGCCCTACCAGGACGGCAGAAATCGAATATTTTCCTCTTCCTATTTGTTGAGCAGCTTCTCAGCATGGAACCGACATGCATATTGAGGTGCGTTCTAATCTGAAATATGCTTTCAGAGACACCGTGGCTAGAAAATCCCAGAAAACGCCGGGACACTAGTCATGATAGAGTTCCATACGCTTTAAAGTGAATTAGGCTGGAGTTTTGCCGCACGTGAGCTTATGTGCCTTCCAATCTGCTCTTTGGCATTCAGCCGAGCAGTAACGAGTGGTCTTGCATTTGGAGCAGATCTTCAACTTCTCTGTTAGTTTATCTTCGCCAGTATTGCACAGAGAGCAGACTGCGGAGTCGGTATTTGTCTGTGGAACTGAGGCTGGAGCTTTTATTTTATCCAGCTCCCTTGCCAATTCGGGGAATTCTTTTCTGAATCTCGCTCTCTGAGTCGTGATTTGCAATGCTGCTTTTGCATTCTCTGCCCGTAAAAATTCGGTCTTGCGTCCAGCGGCAATGGCCTCGTGCATTTTTCTATTCCAAGAGGGATCCAAAGCTTGAAGCGCCATTACGTCCGAGTGGTCTTCATTGTATGCTTTCATTCCAATTTGAGCTTTCTCGCTCATAGATTTGGACTCTAGAGCGAAACGCTGTTAGTAACAAATCCACGTTGAGGGCACACGAAGCAAAGCAGACATACTGTACTCTGCAGAATCATAATCAATTGCCTTGCCCGGCATATCTTCACCAAACATCTGAGCAAACATATCCTGCAATGCACCACTTCTCCAGGCCTCCTCGACGTCGTGATCAAGGCCGTCATTTAAGTACTTTCCATGTGCTGCGTCGTCTTTCTCGGGATAGAATTCCATTTCATCATCGTCGCTATCATAGTCATCTCCGTCGTCAGACTCCCAGCCCTCCTCGTCCACGTTTGCGCCCCCTGCCTTTGTTTTATTTGGTGGAATTCCTCGCTTCTTCGGCTTGCGACGGGGACGACGTGATGATCCTGTAAGTTCTCAATGTGAGTTAGCCAATGGGAAGGAGTCGAGACGCAAGAGCATCGTGCTACTAACCATCGAGAGCCCCGAAACCACGGTAACCTTCTGGAAATTCACCCGACGCGAATGCCTCGAAAGCTTCCTTGGTACTGTAACCCTCCATGGCGTAGTCCATCATCATCTGCTGATCCATATTTGGATCCATATTTGGCAGAAAAATCCCCACAGGGTTGCAATTGAGTCGGGTTGTGGTTTGGTGTTAAGTAGATGGATGTTGGGAAGACGTGCCCAAGGTTTCAGGGGTAGTCGCGAGTGCACGTGAGAATCGCGGGTGGATTTATTTATGCTATGCATAACTTGTATGAGCACCAGCGAGTTAGACGCAAATCGAATTTAAGCGAATTTCAGGGAGAAGGAGGGGAGGGGTGCTTGGCTCCCAGGACAGAAAAAATGTGGCAGTGAAAAGCATAATTATTGTTGCGGCTTTAAAAACCTCGTTGATTGGTGTGAAATCTGGAAAACCGGAAATGGATGTACATAAGGTACAGTACCTAGAAAATTTGTCCCCACTGACCATCTTACAAACTTGCAACCTCCTCCACATTCTTACCTCTATTCTTTAATAGATGTTGAAAACCCATCGAACCAGCCCTTATCCTTATTGTCTAATCAGATACAAGGCTATGTACCTTAGACTATGGGGGGGCGCATTTCCTTTGTCCAAACCCATCAGGACCACAATAAAGATTGCCTAAGTGATCCTCAGTAGTAACGCCAGCTTTCCTTTTTGTGGTGTACCCCGGATGTGTGTTATCATTATAGTACTATAGAGGAGAATGAGTTAGTATTCAACACGTAGCCAATCCTTATCTGTGCTAGTACTTACGCAGTAGGTATTTAAGCCATTTTCTTCGCAGCCTTTATTTCCTTCTGTCCCACCATTGCAATACCACTCAGCCGACACATCAGCGCACAAGGCAAGAATAAAGATAAGTCTCATAGTGAAAATAAATCGAAATTGACAATTTGGAATAGTGTATAAAAGTGATCAGTGTAGTTGTAATCGGTGTAAGTGTGGTAAACACAATAGCTGGACCAGCTATACATCTTATACAGAGATATCTAGAGTGACATGTAAGGATAGCTAGCTAATTACAAAACACAAATTGGATCAAGGAGCTTACTTGATAAGTTAACAAGTTCTGAACTTTTGATAAGAGAGAAATAAGAATAATTTAGCTTAAGCATGACAAAATTTAAGTTTACCGGAGGAAGGGGGAAGGGGTGGTAGGGGGTGTTTGACTCGGAATTTGCATCTAGGGTATATATACTACACTAATAATTAAGGTTCTATACCTTGAATATTGCCTAACTTTTAACGAGTAGGTAGACTACCTCGGCAGGTAGTTAGCCCGCACATCAATTGAAAAGCATGTGCTCCTTCGAAGACAGGGATCTTGCTTTAATTTAGGATACACTATACAGAACTTATTTATTAAAGTAGTTACTCCAGAAAATAATCATAATTTGTAAGATTTGGAGGACTTATACACAAAATCTTCATTACCCTTATATACGCTAGAACTAGCTTTCAGGGTACATATTCAGTGAACTCGCTTATTCTACCTAACTTTAGTATCCTAATTGAAGCCAGATCTCCGCTATATATTCGCAGGGGCACTTAGGGTGTAGAACCTTACTAAGGGCCTGTTTGGCTCGGTGTAAGCACCCAGGGTGTACCATTCTAATTAAGGTTTCACACCTCCAATGCCATCCCGACTCGCAACTGCATTCGGAATAAAGCCAAATCACTACATTCAGGGTGGTACTTGCTTTTCATTCGATGTAAACTTCCTAGATGTAACAAAAGTTGAGTTTACGGGGCGTGTTCTATGGAGCAGCAAATACCACCCTGAATGTAGTGATTTGGCTTTGTTCCGAATATACTATATACGGAGTAACACTTAGAGCATGTTTGGCACAGACCTTGCACCAGGGTGCACCATACTAAATATGGGTGCACAACCCCGATAAAATGCTTGCCCCGTAACTAGTGTAAGAACAGTTTAGCATACAACTAGATGCAAAATAAAGGTACTCGTCCGAATGCAAAATCTGGGCTTATCTTGAGTGTACTATACAAATCAGACGATGTACTAAAACCCCAGATCTGACGTGCACACTCTGTAAACTCGCCTAGTACACCTGGCATTAACATTAATACTTTACATATATATAAGCATATATTTACCTATATGTAAGGCGAGCTTAGATACGGAGATCCAAGGCAGTTATGAAATAGACTCTAAAGAAAGTTGATACAGTAGATAAAACTTCTATAACGATTTACCAACGACGTACATATTTTAAGGATGTTCTCAAAGACCCTTCTGAAATGGTAATAAAGCATGCACTCATAGTTTTCTCAGGAGATTTCGACTACAATATCGTTGTATTCCCAACAGTTTTAAAATCAAGGGAAAAGAAATACAGTAGAGCCAATAGAAAACAGTAAGAGCAAAGTAATAGGAAAAGATACTGTAGCTCAATAAAGTTGATTGCCACCTCCCCAAGTCCTGACTCGTGAATCTAAACTCTTCGAATTCTTATTCTGTCGGTCACGTCTAATCTGACCTTGACACTCTTGGAATCTCTCTTCATTTCTTTGAGCCTTAGCCCGGATAGAACCGAGGAATCCCGTTCCGTAGGAGACCCATGGCCCATAGCAGCATAGAGTAAGGGAAGTGACGAGCTTTTCCAGATGTGGTAATGTCGGCTAGTCCACATTACCACCACAAGGAAAATAAAGGTTGCGGTAACAAAAAACGTGATATGTAGCAAGAATGTCCTATCTACAGCAATTACTGTAATAGTCGAATACGCTTTCCCTTCAACACTCCCAATGCAAATGCCTTTCTCGCTTCTGATATTGTTGGTGAGAGATATTGCAAGAGATGCAAAAGCTTCCTCAACATTATCATGCGGACTTTGGAATAGGAAGTGTTCTTCGACTATTTCAGAAAGTCTCCCAGGAAGAATATATTGGGTTTCAACCGGGATGTCGTATCTGCAGGAAGTGAGTCCTCCAGGAAGAGAATGATTTCGCTCGAAAGTGTGGCTTTCAGCATATCACAAATCAGGTATTAAGGTAAAGGAAATACCATTAATAGAACTTTTTGTAGTTGCATATCCCATCGGCAAAGCAGCTTCGGATGTTACCGGTGGCTTGCCTGAAACCTCTTTGTATGTGGCGCTTTCGTATGATTTAACGCAATAAAACAACATGCATTCGATGGCAGAAGCATTTTTGCCTTCTGTATGGAACTCGATTGCGGTAAAATCAAGAACAGACTTTAATATATTCGCAAACACGGGATGAACCGGTCCTGAGTTCTTTGCAGTTGCGTTGATTGGTACTGAGGGGTCCGCAGAAAGTACGAGATTATTAGGCAACTTGTATTCATATGGGGAATAAGGCCATGATTTAGGATCCGCAGGTGGATCCTTGAGTACCTTGGCCATCTGATCGGTGATACTCGCGCATTTGCTACAGAAACCAAGTGACTGATACGACGGAAATGTGCAGTTCCCCGTTGAACATATGGGCTGAACAGTCTTGCCAGTTTGCGACTGGATTAGCCCGACTGCCATTGCACGCTTTGTAGCCAGAGGGACCTCATACAAGGCACCCGCAGCTTTGCCATTCACGTCCTTGAAGAGGGTATGATCTGTGTAATTCGTGGCGCATGTTGGAACCGTAGCAATTGCAGTCGTGTTTCCAAAGTCATGGGTACCAATTGAATCGCTTGCTGGGTTGCAGGCCCAGTGAGATACGACAGACATATAACTAATGAACCTATCAAGGCCATACTCATCGCCCTAGTCAATTTATGTTAGAGACGTTCATTGGGATTGCAGAAAAGGAGAATGGAGAGCCTACCCCTTGTGGCGATAACGGGCCAAGTTAACCATTGAAATCACCTCACCACGACTAGCATCATCTAAATGTGCGATTTCTGAAAATTGAAGATCTCTTCTACTGAAAAGAAGCCATTTCAACTGTGCCGTTCCTCCGCACAACGGGACGGTCAAGGAGGCTTTGATGATCACAATTAAAACTGATACGAGGGAATTGGGACTGATTGGGAGGTCCCAAGTTCGACCATTTTGGAGATTGAAGTAAACATGGAGTAAAACGAGCAGAGCGATGGCCAGAATGCAAGCAGACAATTCCTGTTTCCAAGACCAAATAGTTGCTCCAAAGCTAGGACTTTCCGGTTCATCGATCGCCGATATCGAACTTTCTGCTCCGGGAATACCTTTGCTTGCTTCGAGCGTCAGCAAAGGAGCTGAATGTCCACAGAATCTCTGGGAATCGTGATTTGGGTATAGTTCCTCGGACGAAATTTTGCTTCGAGTGCACAGTATTTCAATACCGCAAGCTTTCTCGAACGTATACGTCTTATGAAAAATACTGTCGTATCCTGTAGATGCAATGAAATGTTAAGAACTGTCACAAGAGGACCACAAATTGAATAGAGAATGGTTGCAGATCTCACCTGTTTCCTTCAACTTGCAACAAAAACTTCAGCAGTAGTGATTGATATAGTTCACCAAGTCATGCGTGATAAAATATAGTAAATGAGAGGCTGGTCAAGTACTTGATTATTCTACTATGGATGCAGCTATTTTATATATAGCTAGCTAGCAAAGAGTCTTTAACAAAGTAGATATAATATAGTAGGACGGATTATATAATTTTAACAGCCCCCTTAATCCATACTACGAAAAGTAAGGCTATTCTTAGATTCTTAATCCTAGTATATCTCTAAATTTATATAACCCTTCTTATAAGAGAGCTTTTATAAGACCGTTAGTAGCTATATAGTTTATAGGGATATATTTATATATAATTATACTAAATTCTACCTATTCCTACTACTATTAATACTAGATTCTAATATATTTTATCTGGAGCGTATAGTAAGGGTTTTTAGATAGTATAATAGCCCCTTAGTTATTAGCGAATATAAGTATAGTTTTATTATTTATTTAAATACCGAGTTCCTAGAGTAATTATTAAAGCTAAATAGCTTCTTTTCTAGCTAAAGTTTAACTAAATAACTCGGCTTTATAGGTTAATAGAGCTATAGTAGCTTATCGTTTTAAGCTCTATAATATAGCTCTACTTCAGAGATTAAATAAGTATCCTAACGTTAATCGGCTAGTGTTTTTATTATCCGCCTAGCTAGTATTTATATATCCTTAGAGTTTTATATACCGTCCTTCGAAAATAAGCATAAGATTAAGTATCCCTTTAAGGTATCGGAATAACTTTTAGAGCGCTTATTTATATATTTTTATTAGTTAGTAGGAATAGTAGCTAAGTACCAAGACTAGATATACTATATCTAGATATATTCCTAGTATTATATATATAATGCTACTAATCTTTTACTAGTATTTAGTAATTACTTCTAGTTCCGCGTCTAATCTAGGGGGAGCTAGCTTAGGGTAATAGTTTAGATCTATTAGTAGAATAGACGGATTATAATTACTTATACTAAATTAATCTAATACTTACTTAATATATACCTTCTAGTCTAATCAGATAATTTTATTTTTCCGATCCCGAGTTATCCTAATTCTGTAACCGTGTGGAGTGAACCACTGCTTGCTGTGATGAATACGGAGTCAAACGGAAACTGCTGTATTGAGCGAACAACAAAGTGAGGAAGGAAGAGAGTTCCAGAGGAACGAGAGCTTAAATACAGGATGCCAGCAGCGCGCACGTGACACATA